TAATAATTTGTCAAAATAATATTTAATTAACACGTAATATCTCTATTTTATACTTGTTAATTTGTTAATTAAAAAAATAGTTTAAGTATCACTACCAAAACCAATAGCATACATCCAACATTCATATTAATAGTTCTGCAACTTCTGCTTATGGGAGAATTATATTTGATATCAGTTACATTATTGGAATTTCCTCCATCAAGAGCAAATGAAATGTCAATATGAGCCCTTAGCGGATCATTCCAAAAATTAGCTATATTAAGGCACCATAATTGATTTGGTATGGGATTTTCTGAGTATAATGAACTGCATTGAGAAGCAACATCTCCGTTACAATAGAAGTAAGAATCAGTTTTATTATAGGCATTGGATCTCATTATTCCCATGCCAGCAATATAGCTATTTAAAGTCGCATTCGTAATTGTTATATAATCATAAAAGTTCTCTGAAGACACGGGTGCCGATGAATTTACGAGGCTAATATTGAAGCCTACAAAATTATTATTATTAATAATGTTTTAAAACTTTAAAAATATAATTTTCAAATTCATACTTAAATATGATGTATTTATTTTAGAACAAGTTCTCCACCATATCCACTCTTTGGTAATATTGTTAATTGGAGGAAGGTAAATAGTTCCTGATGCTGCTGTGATTTGTTTGATTGCTATGATATTGATTACGAAAGTCTATTAATTGAAAGAAAAAAGAGCTTTGTGAATATATTAATATTAACATCGAGGAGATAGAGTGTAAGGATCTATAGCAGACAAATTTAGAGAAATGTAATTTAATTCCTTCAACCTATATTATATGTTGTCATTAGGTATGAAATTTTGGGTCACTATTTGAGTCTATAAATCCATAAAAATATAAATAGAATTAGCCACATCGGAAAGCCAAAAGTGAACATACATTAAGATATTCCTCATTTATACTTTTTTATTAATTCTAAATTCATAAAAAAAAAAAAATCCCCAAAAATGTATTTCATAAAATTCCAAACTTTTATGATAGGTCATCAGCCTCATATAGCTGATTTTTAAACTCACTCAATCTCAATCTTTTTTTAATTTCTACCTACTTATATTAAATTTAAAATCGATAGAATGAATAAAGAAAAATCACCTTGAGAATCAAAATAATAATTATTAAATTTTTCATTTTATTTATTATTTTTTCAATTGAAAAATTCTCTTAATTGTTTTCGTAACGTAGTCAAGTCTGTTTTTCTGAATTTTGGTTTAATGAAGTATATATTAAAAAAAAGTCTCTAATAGTCTTTTTTAAAAAATAATTTTACAGAAAACTTGTATATTTTTGTCTTGATAAAAAAAAACAAAGACAAACCGTTTAAAAATTAAAAGCTGAGTTGATGAATAATATATATTTGAGAAATAATTAATAGCTTTGTATAAATTTATTTTATCTATCTCCAAAACTTATAGAAATTATTTAAATACAATTATCATGCGGATTTAGTATATTGCATAATAACGATACAACAGTATATTGCAATTCTTTATATTTACTATTATTGTGATTCTAAAGAGAATTCTATTCTGTGTTACGCTTATATACTCCTGTATTAAGAATCGAATAAAAATTGCAGATGAAATTTACTTTTTTCTAATAGATAGAAAATATTGGCGTTTTTCAATTGTTAATGAAAGGAATCAATCTATTCTAATAGTTCTTTAATAATAAACCCATAGTATATCTTTCTTCTCCTGTGCGTAACCATACCCTCACGCATTGATTTGTAACCCTTTAAAACAGTGGTACAAGTCGAGAGAACAACGATGCATATACGTACATACGTACAATCTAATTCAGCCTAATCTTCGAATAATGAAAAATGAATGCTATAATGTTTCTCATCATATTATTGTGATGTTACTTTATTAGGAAATTAGCCATCTCCCTTTTCTTTATTCTATTTGGTAACGTTACTTTATTAGGAGATTAGCAATCTCCCTTCTCTTTATCGAATTGCCTTTTAAATTCTTAACCTTACTTTAATTGATTACATAAACATTTCTGCTTCTAATTGAGTCTTTGAAGGTATGGCGTAAACATTTCCATGCACACTTATTACACTAC